GAGGGGAAGGGACAGGCCTGGGAAATAAAAGTAATCTCTCTCTTCTTTTTCCATCACCTTCTGACTTCCTTTTGGTTCCCTCACTATTTCTGTCTTTCCCTTGTTCCACAACCCTTCACCTCTCCCACCCCTGCTATCTCCTTGCTCTCTTGGCAGGTCAGGTTTATCCATGGGGAAACCAGTTCCAGCCAAACCGCACCAACCTGTGGCAGGTAAGGCATACATTCCTCACCCCTCTCCCTTCTCAAAGCCTTGATCGAAACCTGCTGTAGGCTAGGCGGCACATTGGGCTGTGGGACTCAGAGGGCTTTGTGTTCTAATGGGACTGATAAACTACCAAACTGGTAAAGCAAAAGACAGTGTGGTAGGGCTACATACTGAAGAGTTGCAGGAGTAAATGACTGCCTGAGAGAGCTGGGGGTGACTTCACAGAGAAGATGACATTGAACCTGATGGAGATTGGAATTTGCCAAGTGAAAAGTGTAGGAAAGGGCATTATCAGCTGAAGGAACAACATGAGTGTAAGCATTGTATTAGGAAAGGGTACTGTGTGTTCAGAGACGGGACAAATTCAGAGAGGCTGGAGCACAGTGAAATGGGGGGTGTAGGAGATGATGTAGGCAGTGGGTTGTAAGCAGATTATGAAGGACCAGGTGTGCCAAGATACGGTTATATCTTACCCTGTAGGCAGTGGGGAGTCAACAGAGGGGACTAAAAGCATCTTTGATTTGGGGAGTATGCTAGTTGCTAATTTGCACAGGACCCAACGAAGTACAGCTGCAATGGTGGCGGGAGGGGGGGGTCTCTGAATTTGAGGCTGTGGCAATGGCACAAGGGATTTTGAACATGTGAACTAAGTAGCAGCAGGATGGAGAGGAAGCCAAATGGAAGAGGCGTGCCTGAGAAGATAGACAGGGTTTGGTAATTAATCAGATGTGGAGAGGTGAAAGAGAGTTGGGTTCAAGCATGAATCTAAGCTTGGGCAACAGGATGATGGTGTACCATTATCCAGAATAGATGATATGCATTTGGGGTCAGAAGGCTAGAACTTGATCACTGAACTGAGATCACTGATCACTGAACTAAGATCAGCTTAGTTTAAGGTGCCTTTGGGTCATTTATATGCTGAAAGTCAAAAATACGAGTCTGGAACTTAGGACAGAGGTCTGGGTCGGAGCAAGTGGTTTGGGAGTCATCAGCATACATCTTGGGCAAGAATGTCATCTCCCAGGGAGACTCTAGAGAGTGAGGTGGTACAGCGTCAGCGTTTCAGGGGGTAGCATTAAAAAGGACCTGAGGGGTAAACTGATCTTAGATGATCTTTGGATCAGAGCTTTGCAAAAAGACAGATCTGACTTCTTCACTGTAATCTTTGATAAGTTAGCCATTTTGAGCCTCAGTTGCCAGTTTTTTAAAGGGAGAAAATACTTGCCTCACAACCTTGTAAGTATTAAATTAAAAGCGATAAATGTAGCAGCCCTAGCACGTAGTAGCTATTGCCCCTTCTATCTCCCCTTTAGTAAGAGCAGCTTCCATAGACCAGTGGAAGATGAATCCCAGTTTTAATGAGAAGAATGAACACATTGGACACATTGCATCAGCAAATATAGGGTCCTTTTTTTCAGGACTTTTGGTGGTAAGAACAGATGAGGATAGAGTCAGGGCAGACGAGGGAGAGTTACCCCTGTTGGTGGTAGAAGGGGAAGAGGTGTTACAGGAGAGCACAGGGTGGGCATTGGTTGTTCTGCAGATGGCAGGTGGTGCTGACCACAGAGGAGGGGAGGAGAGCCTTTCTTCCCAAGGCATCGAAGCACATGGGGTCCAAGGCAGAGGAGTGGGAGCTGCTGAGAGTGGAGAAAGTGGGAGTGGGGTAGGCTTGTTCTAGACCCCTGTGGGCACAGGGGAAAGCATACCCGTCCTAATCCAGCCAGGAGGTGATGGTGGAGGACAGGAGGTGACTAGTTTGGGAGCTCAGGATGGGTACCTCAGAACACTGCCCCATACCCCTCACCCCACCCCAGATGACACAGCAGGTGACCTTGGTTTTCCTCTGGGTAGACAGGGACACCTGCCTTGGAACAGGATGGTAAATGTTTTAGTCTAAATTTCTCCTTCTCAGGGAAAGTTCCCCAAGGGTGACAAAGCTGAGGATGGCTTCCATGGAGTCTCCCCAGTGAATGCTTTCCCCCCACAGAATAACTATGGTAAGATTTCCTTTCACATTGCTGTCAACACTCACAAATTGTTTGGTGGGATCATTCTGTTGATCATTGAGGCAGAAAGAAACACCACCAGAGAAGCATTTGCTCCCCTAAAGACTTCATAAGTGGGGGCGGGGGGGGGGCGGGTACTAGCCAGCCTGGGACTGACCCCCACCCTGCTGTGCTGTAGGGCTCTATGACCTCATGGGCAACGTGTGGGAGTGGACGGCATCACCGTACCCGGCCACTGACCAGGACATGCGTGTCCTCCGGGGGGCATCCTGGATCGACACAGCTGATGGCTCCGCCAACCACCGGGCCCGGGTCACCACCAGGTAAGAAGCCTGGGATCTGGGGGCGAGGGTCAGGTCCTGGTCTCCCAGAGCACAGACAGCACCAGAGCTAGTGTTGGCACTGCTTCCACACCTCTGTCTGCACCCAGAGTTGGGCACAGAAAAGAGAACAAGCAGCACTTGCCATGAGAAGCAAAAGAGCCCAGGGCGACTTGTGCCTTTTCTTGCCAGCTCTCAGCACCCAGAAAGACTTTGTGTCCCACACCATAAGGTTTTCTTTCTGTTCTTGTCCTCCTAACTGGGTGTGCGGAGACAGGGGGGTAGAATGGCCACATAAATAGGTTATGGCCTGGGGTCATGGAAATACTGACCCTTCAAACTGGAAAGCACATGAAAAGTCATTTTCTGTAACCATTTTGTTTTACCGTCAAGGAAAATTAGGCTCAGGGAGGTGCTGGGACCTGCTCATTTCACACAGATGATTAGTGCTAGCACCTGAGTCTCCTACTGGGACTGTCTCTACACTCTCATCTGTACATTTATTTTGATTGATCTCCCTGTGATTCCTCCCATTACGGGTTCCATAAGGATTGAAAAGAGACCACAGTTTCTGTGGCCTCGGGAAGTCAGGTTTGCAGATGTTTCTTTGACACATTGAGGCCCAAGACTTTCTCTCACCTCCTTTTTTTAGGACAAAGTAATGGAGAAGATATTAGCCTGGGAACCAGGAAGCTGGGTTTGCCACTGAATCTCTTGTGCCCATGAAGCAGTAGTTGGCTCTGGGCAGGATATTTACATCTTTCTAGTATCTGCTGGGTCTCTAAAATGGTGAACAGACCCTCCCTTCCAGAGCTATTGAGAAATGGCAAATGAAGGAGCATATGTGAAAGTTCATTAAAAAGTATGAAGTACTCACTGGCACTACAACATTTTGCTTCTTACTGACAGGATTTTTTGTTTGTTTGTTTGTTTGTTTGTTTGTTTGTTTGTTTGTTTGTTTTGACTGAGTTATTCTAAACCACCAGCAGCTAAAGTTACTAGTCATTGCCCTTCCTGCCTTCCAGAGCAGATTCTCAGGGCTGTTCACTCACACTTCCTCCACCCTGTCCCAGGGCCCTTCTCCCCATTGCCCCAGGAGCACCCTCACCCCAGGCTTCTTTCTAGACCATGTACTCCCGCACCCTGGACCACAGCAGGCCCTAGGAGGTAGAGCAGGAAAGTGGAGTAAGACTCCAGACCCCTTTTCAACAAATGTCCATTCTTTCTCCTCTTCTCTGGTGCCAGGATGGGCAACACTCCAGATTCAGCCTCAGACAACCTTGGCTTCCGTTGTGCATCCAGTGCAGGCCGACTGCCTGGGGAGTTGTGAACAGCTATGCAGAGCCAAAGAGAAGAGCCCCATGGTGCCCGTGTCACTCCCTGGCCACGTTCCAGACACAGCCAAACTCCAGACTCTTAAACTTTAGCCTCAGGAACGACCTCCTACCCCTCTTCCATTCCTCTGTGGCAGGCATCTCTCACCAGGCCAGGAGAGGACTCTAACCTCAGAGGAGGGGTGCCACTGTCTCCTGAAGAAGGGGCCCAACTTATTGATTGTGGCCAAGAGCTGGGTGTTTCTCTTAGACGTCAGATATTAACTGTATAGGGCCCAGTACTCAAACAATTGGGCCAGAGTGCTCTGAAAGGCACTTTGTTAAAAATTTTAAATCAATGTTTGATTCAGGGATCCAACATTGTTTTCTCAAGGCAGAATTTCCCCATTTCTCTTTGTTTTCCAAGCAAATTGCTGTAGAAGGAAAATACTTCTTTCATTCACCTCATTTGTAGTGTTTCACATGCCTCTGAAGGAACCTAATTTCTGCTAACCGTACATAGAATGCAGTAACCAGGCTCTTTAAAGCACAATGTCAGTCTTAAAAGGGTCTAGGGGAGCCGAATTATTTACCAGACAAAACTGTATTGTGAGAGTCACAAAGTAAATGATATTCCAGACAGACAAATACCAGAACCTTCCCTTTCTATTGTTAATCAGATCAGGGCTCCCATATGCCTCTAAACATATGTCCCTAGAAAAGAACCTGCTCCCACGGTGCCACTGGATGTTGTGAGGTCAGTAAAACCTCTTGTGATTGTATATCTCAGACTATTCTCTTTTATCCTCACCCTGGGACCCTAAGAGAAGGGCGCGCAAGCATCTGGAACTCTGGGCCTCCCATGAGAAGAACCTGAGATGGTGCTTACAGCTGGGAAGTAGAGAAGCAGTTCCCCTCTATGGGGACAGGCCCTGACCACACTCACCAACGTGTGATGACGTGTGATGGGAGCGCCCTGCCCTTGTGCAGAGCCTCTGAGAGGGGATAGGGGCCTTGGGTGCAGGGGTTCTGGCCAGGCCCAAGTACCCCGCTCTGGACAGAGGCTTGGACATGATCTCACTCCTTCAACTTCTCTTTCTGTGGCTTTCCCTCCTTGCCCGCCCCCCGCCCTACCTACCCCACCTGATGGCCCCTCAGTAGTCTTCCTCAGCCAGGGAGAGGAGCACAGCTTTGGGTGTGTTCTCAAAGAGGGCAGCCCGGTTCTGCTGCTGCCCCTTCTTCACCCAGTGGCCATAGATGCGGAAAGCATAGGCATCGATGAGTCGGCGCAGAGGACGGAGGGCATAAGGGTCACGGATGACGATCTCCCGGGTCACCGGCTTCACCCGGCGGTACTGGTAGTAGATCCGCACTGAAGCCAGTACTGTTACAGCAATCACCTGTGGAAAGCCAGAACTGAGAAGCTGGACCCAGTCCCTGCCGGCCTGTCTCCTTCCCCTTCCAGTGCAGGGAGTCCCTGAGCGTGATTGCTATGAAGCCTTGTGTGCCTACTGCTGGGCCTTTCCTAGTGTTCCCCCTATCATTCCCACCCCTCCGGCATCTGCAGAGATGTGGGCTTTTGGAGCCAGATGGGTGACATCTGTCCTCTCTGATGCCAGAAATTGAGCTGGAGCCATCACAGGGATGGGCGGGAGGGGAAGGGCAGGTGCTCTGGAAACCCTGTGAGTGAAAGGAGTCCCTGGGGGAAGGAAAGGGACTTAGGGGCTTGGACTTGAGTCCTGCCCTGGGTGGGAGGGGAGCTTCAGTACCTTGAACTTGCCCCGGGGGCTGAAGTGACGCACTTCTTCCACCACATACTGCTGGAAGAACGGGTGTGCTAAGGCCTCTTCTGCTGAACAGCGGCCCCGGGGGTTCACCACCAAGAAGCGAGAAACCTGAGAGAATAAGGAAGGGGGAGCTGAAAACATCAAGGCAGGGTCCCCTCCAGCACTTCAGAAGACATAAGGTCTTTCCCAGTAGGGTCCTCCATTTTGTAGCATGATATGCTTCTCTCCCCCGTGGTGGACTCCCCCTCTCTTGAGCAGAGGAGCCAGAAGGATTGGTCTCTCACCAAGTCCTTCACTGTGTCTGAATAATCATCCCATTCAGGTGAGCCAAACTGGTAGTTGCCACTCATGATCATCCTCAGCATCAGCATCTGTTTCCGGTGCCAGAAGGGTGGGGAGCCAGCCAGCAGGGTGTACATGATGACGCCTGTGCTCCACCTGGTATCAGGTGGAACAGGGAGGAAAGCAGGAGAACTGGCTGTAGCTCCTGCCATTTCCTCCCCTCCCCAGCCAGGTGCTCTTAGCCACGGGGGCATCCCTGTCCTTCTGGGTCACTTCCCAACATACTTACATGTCTACTTCCTTCCCATAACCTGGGTGGTCATCATTCATGGAGCATTCAATGATCTCAGGGGCCAGGTAACTGGGGGTCCCACAGACCTCTGCAGAAATAGTTACATTCAGGACAGGTCAGCAGGGGGCACTTGGAAGGGGGAAGATCCAAAGAAAAAAAATGTAGACAAAAGCAAAATGGTGCTTGGGCTGGGACTCTTCTAACACTGGCCACCTTCAGAGCCAAGGGCAGGGCCTGGGTGCTGGGTCTGTTGCTTCCTCGGTCACATCTAGCCATCCCGGCCTGGAACTCAGGCAGTGGGAACCTGGCTCAGCCCTGGGAGGAGGCTTATCTGAAGAGACACCTAGCCCTGAAATGGTAGGATTTTTATTCTGGGAGCGGAAATCAGGGGAGAAATCCAGGCAATCTCTGTTCCTGGGAGCGTGGATGAGAGAGACCTGAGCCCCTGACATGGGCCAAGGCCACGTTACCAGACCTCGCAGCTTCTCTCCTGGCTCCAGCTGGCAGGAAAAACCAAAGTCTGTGAGTTTGATGTTCATGTCATCATCCAAGAGGATGTTCTCAGGCTTCAGATCCCGATGCACAATGTTGAGTTTGTGCAAATTGCAGATTACCTCCAGCAGGGCTCTCATGATCTTTCTGGGGTGGGACAGGCACATGTCACTCTTATCTCCTATTCCGCAGGGCCCGGCAGCAAGCAGGGAGACCAAAGCCCATATACCCACCAGACTGCCAGTGTGGGAGGACAGGCTGAGACCATCTAGGCTGAGCCAAAGAGGGAGGGAGGCTACAAAAGCCAGCAGTGCATGCCCCCAGCCCAGACAAATGCATGCTGCTCTCACTCCCAAGAGCTTGGTGCCAGTATCACTAGGACTCTGGGGCAGGGAGTGGCAATAGGGGCAAATGGATCCTCACCTGGTTTCCTTCTCACTCAGAGTGACCTTCTCAGTGAGGTAATCAAAGAGCTCCCCTCTCTTCATCCTGTGGGGATGGCGGGTTTGTATCTGTATGGGTCCCAAGAGCACCCCCTTCTTACCCTACTCCCAGAGACCTGTTTCCTCCCCTCATGTCTCCAGAGACAGAGTGGACCACTCCCCATGAAGGACCAAGGGCTGCAGGAAGAAGCTGGGGAAGTGAGCAGAGGGGTTGTCTAGGCAGATTAGAAGAACAGTGGAAACCGAAAGGGTGGGATAGCACGAGGGTGAGTGTCTCCCCCACTGGGGGTGGGATGGCACCAGCCTGAAGGTCCCCCCACCTGTGGAAGCGACACACTGGGATCTATCAGGGCCAAAATCAGAGCTGGGAGGTGAAAGAGGGACCCTGAGCCACTGGCCCAAGGCCCCAGATCCAGATCAGGACAAGAGTGTCCTGATTTTTCCCAGGAATGGACAGTAGAGGCAACAGTGCAGGTGCTGCGAGAGCAAAGTTTGCCTATTTTAGGAGTAAGAATTACAGTTCAATCTTCCCACTTCTTGGAATGATGTAGAAAGAGGTCGCTGCTAAAACAATCTAGTTGTACCCTGGAGGGCAACTCAGGGCAGCATTAAAAATAGCTTCCCTAAGCAACTTCTTCAAAGGTTAGGGATATTTGAGCTGCCCACAAGGGCTCTACAGGGCAGTGTCACCGAGCAGAGCTGGGGACAGCTGCAGCTGGTTAAATCTTGGGCGGCCCTGGGAAAGTCTCCCCTGGTTAAATAGGAAAGGTACATCCTGCTCTCATCACCCACCCCTCCAGGGAAAGCAGCAGGATTCCTGGGACACAAAGGAATTTGGCCACTGTCATAGAGGCAAGAAAACCCTTGAGCTTAGCTGGTATGGCAGGGAGGGGGGTTCTGTTTGAGGAGACAACTTAGAATTTACAGAGGTGAGCCTTATCTGTACAATATCTGCACTGTGTTCCAGAAAGGCCATGTGTGAATCCAGTTTTTATTATTCTAATTCCATTTTAAAGACACTAGAAGAACTCACTGTTAGCAACATAAGAAAGATTAACCAGTAAACACTGGGGACTGGGCAAGATACAACAGGCTGCTGCCTCATGGACCTGGCAGTTTAATTGTACACACAGGCCAGGTTATACTGTGTCTGGAAGAAAATAACCCTACACATATTCAGCATGGCTACAGTATGAAACATTCTAACAAGACAAAACCTACTTGAATAATTTTCTCAAGTAAATCCAGTCCCTAAAATTAGCTATTATGTATGGAGGAATCAAGACACCACACAATGGTGGTGGTTCATGGAGCCTTTAGTGATGACTCAATGGAGTGGGGCGACAAGGAGCTGGACAGTTCCCTTCCCTGGGAAGCCTTTCTGATAAAAATGATAAGTCTGAAAACATTGTTCACAGAGCACTTTGTGTCGTCGAATTCAATACTTAGAGCCTGGTGAGATGGGCACAGTGGTTGTTATCATTTTTCCTTTCTTGAGAAAACAGAGGCTCTCAGAGCTGAAAGGCCCCCTGTGGGCAGTGGACCCTGTGACAAGGAGCTTGTCTCAGTAGCCCTGTTGGTGCAGAAGCAGGGGAATAGTGACACTGATGACGACAACGATGATGTCAGTCTTTGAGCCACACCCCAAATACAACCTTTACTGCTTGCCTCCCTGGTGGGCCTCTTGCCTCAATACTGCTGGCCTCCTCCTTTCCACTCTTGCCTCCTTATAGTCAGTAGTATGTTTTTCAAAAGTAAGAGGGATGTGTTCATCCCTCCAAAGTCCTTGCCATGGCTGACATGCCTGCAAAATCCGGTCTTCAGTATAGACTGGCCTCACATTCTGCCAACTCCACAAGCTTGCCCCACTCCACCCTGGTTTCCTTGCCAATCCTGGAATATATGAAGCCCATCTGGTGGGGCCCTTGCTCTGGCTCTTCCTTCTGTCCTTCGGCTGGAAGGGTCCTTCTCCAGGTCTTGGTTCTGATCCCTCCCTCACTTCATCTGGGCCTCTGCTGAGGTCACCTTCTGGAGAGCATTCCCTGACAGCCCCATCTAAAGAAGCCCCACCTCTCTCTAACTCCTGCTCTGCTTTATGCATCTGTACATGTACATAACTATGTGTATGTATCATTGCTTTCTGTTCACTCTCTGTGAAAATCATTACATGAAGTTGGGGACTTTGTCTTGTTCATTGCTATAGCCTCAATGTCCAGAATGAGTATTGAATGACCACCTTCGTCATCGTCATTGTAGTTGATAATTAATAGCATTTACATTGTGCCATTTGCTGTGCTATTATTACTTCTGTAATGCCCATGAGAAAACGGATACTTAAAGAAACCATCTAGCTCATAAGTGGTGGCCCCAGGATTCGAGACCTGGCAGCCTGACCCCAGGGCTGATTGACCTGAAGCATTGGTGATCCTATTTGGCCTCCATAGTGTAGGGAGCTGGCTGTTGGTCTCCAGGAAGCACTGGGTAGGGACCACACTAGGAGGTTCTCCGACAGGCCCCAGGGTGTGGCTGGCTGCAGGACTGGGTACTTACAGATCAAACACCAAGAAGAAGAAAGTGTTGGTCTCATATGTGTCCTTCAGCTGTACTGAAATGGAAATGACTAACTCGTCTCAGGTAGCAGAGGAGCCTGGGCAGAGGCAGCGGGGGGGGCACAGGGGTGAGGGTACTAAAGCTGCTCCGACTGACTTCAAGAGCCGGAAGGGGTATCAGAACAGTGTTCAAAGGAGTCCCGCTAAGGGAGGGGCCAGCCCGGGACCTTACACCCCCATTCCCTGACCCGCAACCACCGCCAGTTCTGCTTGCAAACCTCTGGCTGGCTGGAAGAGGAGGCTTAGAGCTGAGTCTCCAGGGTGGTGAGGGTGCGGCTGGGAACCTCAAGCCTCAGGGTGCTGGGCTGGCAGGGTCTCCAGGGCAGGAGACACTCTGGGGATCCTGGCTGGCTGCACGGTGGGACCGCACGCACTCCCTGACTTGGGTTATTGGAGCAGAATCATGGTGGAGCACCCTGCTGGGGCCCAGAGACATTACTCACTGATGTTGGGGAGCCCCGAGACCTTGCGCAGGATGTCCACCTCCTTCAGCGTCGCCTCCCGCAGCTCCTGCACCTCCGCAGAGCTGAAGCTGCCCCCGCCGGTGATGTCAATGATCTTCACAGCATACTCCTGGCACGTGGGCTTGTGGATGCAGCGCCTGACGACACTGCTAACTCCTCTGGGGGTGCAGAGTACAGGTGGTCCAGGGGCCCCTCACCCCAGGGAGAATCCCAGGTCCAAGGCACAACAGAGATGTCTTGCCTTATCCACCAACTCCCTAGGAGCTTTTGGGGATGGGGGGACGAAGATGGCAGAGGGAGGGTGATTTGTCTGGAGCTGATGAGTAACGAGCCTGGTCTTAGGACTCTTGATTCCTAGTTTAGTGCTCTTTCTCAGCATCGAGGGCCATCACCTTCCCTCTGACCCCTGATCTCTGACCCTGGTGCAAAGTGGGTTTGGAAGTGCTTGTCAACAGTACTGGGAGAATTCCGCTGGGAGAGGTATATACCCTTCTCATTTGTCCCGGTTCAGGAGAGCAGGACCCCAAACTGAGGGTTTCTCCAAGTGGACAGTGCTTTGGGGATGGGCCCATGGGCCCATGGAACTGGCTGGAGCCTAAGACAGCACTTCCTGGGGCAGGTCTAGGCCTTACCTGCCCAGGATCTCCTTGGGCTCATAGTTCTCATAGAAGCCCTGTGCTGAATACAAGTCTGGCAGTGCCTCGTCCCGGGTCATGCTCAGCTCCTCCGGGGTGATTCTGAGGGGCTCTGAGAGGAGAGATGGAAAGAAGCTGGCAGCTGTCCTGATCTAAGGGATGTGCTCTTTGAGGACTGGAACCCTTTCTCACTCATCTTTGTATCTCCTGGCACAGAACAGGCCTATAGTGGACGTTCAAAATAAATGTGAGTTGAAAAACCCTTTGGAAAGAGCCCAGCTTGCGTCTTCCTGCTGGTTGCAAACTTTTGTGAACCCCAGGCAACCCTGTGGCTCCCTGGATGTTCTCGCTGTAAGTTGCCGCCCCCTGCTGACAGCAGGCCAGGCCTAAGCCCAGGCCAGAGGCAGAAGGTTGGGCCATCAGCCCCAGGGTTAGCTCTGAGGAGGCCAGCACACCCTTGATTTTAGAAAGAACCCCAGAGAAACTTTGCAGAGGACAAATTAAAGGGCTGTCTCTTCTCTTTGAGGAGATGAGGCTAGTCCTGCTTTTCCTCTGCTTGTTCTCTGTGCTTGCGGAAAGGTGAGAAGCTTCATGATTTCATCTTCTCAATATGGGGCTCCTAGAGCCTCTCTTTCACCTCCCCCAGTGTAACTGTCCTTCCATGAAAACAGCCCTCCTTCCGGAACACACTTCCAGTGCTTCCCACTGTTCCTTCCTTACTCATTCTGCTCTCAACCAGGACTTTCCTAACCTTTCTTTCCTCCTTTCTTCCTTCCTTCCTTTCTCTCTTTCTTTTCTCTTCTTTCTCTCATGCTTTTTGAGAAGCACTCTGCCAGGTGCTCAGAGGGATGCAGAGCTTAATGGGCCCTGCTTCTGCTATCACCTGTCAGTGTGTGGTGTCACCTCCTCCATTAGCCTGATCTCTGGGGTGTCCCAGCCATTCCTCCCTGCCGTGCCCAGTGCTGCTCCCTGGATGTGAGTCAACAGTTGGAGGTATCCCTTTGGCTCAGGGTTCTGATGGCAGGTCGGTTCTATCCTCGGAATGCCCCATGTCCTACCAAATGATGGCCGGTGAGCCCTGAGTGGTCCCGCCACAGTGTGGGGCAGTACAAAGCCAGGATACTCAGGCCTGGACACAGGAGCTGAGCTGGCCAGCTTTGCCTGAGGAATATAAATGTTTATTTATTTTTGAGAGTGTGAGTGGGGGAAGTACAAGGGGTAAGGTGGGGTGGGGACAGAGAATCCGAGTGGGCTTGGCGCTGACAGCACAGAGCTTCACACAGGGCTCAAATCCACGAACCATGAGATGAGCCGAAGCTGGACACTCAACCGACTGAGCCACCCAGGCGCCCGAGGAATATAGAGGCCACCATAGTACTACACTCCTACCTCAGATATAGGATTTGAGGAACAGAGAAAATCATCTACCAACAGGAAGAAGGGCAGATAGAAAATGGGCACAAGTTAACATTCAGCAGGGCCAAAGCTGCCTCTAGCCCCACTTCTACTGCCCTTTCTGGGCCCAGGAAGGCCTGGCCTATCAAATGGGCCAATTTGCTGACCAGCCAAGTAGGGCTAGCTGTTCCAGGAAGCCTGGTGTCCCCACTGCTGGGTGCCTGGTTACCAGAGGAATAATTAGAATAACAACAATCTCTGCCAACAGCAGGCGCCTGGGCTGCTTGCTCACAGGCTTCCCAGTCAGCAGCCCCAACTGAGCACAGAAATGTCTGTTCCTGTAAAAACAAGCCCATTTCCTTGCAGGTCCTTTTAAGTTCCCAGGATGGGTGTCTGTGTCCCCCACCTCCCAAAGCTGGGTAGTGCAAGTTCTCTCCCTTCCCCCAGCCCTCTACAGGCAGAGGATGTGGTGGACCCGTTCCAGGAAGCCATCCCAGCTGGGGGCTCCATTCCCTGGCCTGACCAGCTTCACACACTTCTGGCTGCATTCACCTGTCCTGGGGTGGGGCAGGGGGACCACTCCCTTGCTCTAGGCCTGATTGAGCCACATTTGTGCTTCTGTCCACTACCTCCCTACCTGCCCTCCCACCCCCGACTCCCCACCTTTCCCAAGACTCCTTTGGAAAGGGTCCCCAGATGGGAGTAGAGAACCTGGTCCTTTTTGGAACAAAACATCCCTCCCCAAAACACGAAGTCTGAAAATACAATAACAGAGAACCCCCTTTCTGTAGGCAAATACCCTGAGGGGGGCTTCAAGAGTCAATGCTGCCACTCTGCATCCAGCTGCCTTCGGAAGAGAAAAGTGGGTCTAATGGCTCTGGATGTTTCTATCTTCTCTGCCCACAGCCTCTCCCTCTCTGTCTGTTGCCTGGCTTTTATCCATCACCAGCCCAGCTACTCACTGTTAGGTCCTCTCAGGCCCTTGAGTGAATGTGACAGGAATCCCAAAGGTCTCAGAGCCCCTTGGGGAGAGGGGACAACTGAGGGCTGAAGCAGGTCCTCAGCAGACACTCGTGGCCACAGTAGGATATCTTGCTGCTCGTCCTCCGGGCTTTGCTACTTGGTGACGGAAGCCTGACGTGCCAGAAATAAATCACAACTGCAAACCTGGGATGCAGGCCAAGACTCAGCAGGGGCCAAGTCTCACCAGGAGGTGACCTCTGCTGGACGGTGAGGGAAACTCTGGTGGCCTGAGAGCACGCAGGAACAGCATGAGGTGACCAATCTTCCCTCTGGAGCTCCTTTGGCCTCCAGGCCCAGAGGAGATAAAGACAGCCTTGACGGGAACACATTCACTTTTCTGGGAGCAGTGTCTCTATATGCTGAGAGCAGGGACCTGAGGAAACCCCAGGAGAAACTGGCGCACCCACACTGTAGCCCCAGTGTCCACAGGGGCCCACTCAGGAATGGCTTTTGTGGCTGACCTGCAGAATGCAGACCTTAAAGGTTAAGGAACATCCCCTTCAGCAATCCATCTCTAACCTGCCTCCATGATTTCATCCTTAACCCGTTTAGTTTTCAGCCTGTGGTCTTTTGGGAGGAGGTCCGTGTGCCAGGAAAAGCATATGAGCTCTGACAGGGTGCCCCTTTGGGCTCTTTGAGTGAGGGCCCTCATCAGTATGATTCTACCTTAAGAGGTTGACAGAATTGGAAATAATGTATGCAACATGCTGACACTGACATGTTGCTCTCTCTCATTCTAAAGCTACCTTTTTTCTTTTTTTTTTATTAAAAAAAATTTTTTTGGGGCGCCTGGGTGGCGCAGTCGGTTAAGCGTCCGACTTCAGCCAGGTCACGATCTCGCAGTCCGTGAGTTCGAGCCCCGTGTCGGGCTCTGGGCTGATGGCTCAGAGCCTGGAGCCTGTTTCCGATTCTGTGTCTCCCTCTCTCTGCCCCTCCCCCGTTCATGCTCTGTCTCTCTCTGTCCCAAAAATAAATAAACGTTGAAAAAAAAAAAAAAATTAAAAAAAAAAAATTTTTTTTTAATGTTTATTTATTTTTGAGAGAGGGACAGAATGTGAGCGGGGAGGGGGCAGAGAGAGGGAGACACAGAATCCAAAGCAGGCTCCAGGCTCTGAGCTGTCAGCACAGAGCCCAATGCGGGGCTCGAACCCCCAACCAAGAGATCATGACCTGAGCCGAAGTCGGATGCTTAACCAACTGAGCCACCCAGGTGCCCCTAAAGCTACCTTTTTTCAAACCCCTAATTCTAATATACCAAATGAAGGGAGGGCTACTACAGTGCTTCACCCAGAGGCTGAGCCCACAAGCACCCATTTGATTAGCATTTCACAAAGCACTTGCACATTCTCACTTGGACCCCAAAACTCTGGTATTAAGGCAATTTTAAAGAGAATGTGACTTGCTCAAGGTCATGAAGTAGGTAAGGAAGGCCTAGATGAACCCCAGGTATGGGCCCAAGAGCTCTTTCCTTTATTCATGCTGACCATCTATTTCTTTCACTCCTGGGAGTGAAAAGATTTCTATATAAATGGCTTGATTTCTATATAAATGGGCACTGGGAAGGACTTTGGGTCTACTACGCATTAAGGCCTCTGCTTAACTGAGATGCAACATCTGGCTCCAATGATGAAAACACCTCAATCTCCTTTCACTTACTGTAAGCTCCCACCTCTTCTTTTTGTGGTCCTGATGCAAAGCTGTAGAGTGGACTTGTGCTTTATACTTTCAATGCTTAACAAAATCCCTTCTGAACTCAGGGCAAAGGGCCAGTGCATCTAGTGGATTATTCCCTGTGCCCATCTCTGTGTAGCCCTGGCTCCTACAAGGGAGAGGCCAGGCCAGCCAGACTCTTGCATTTTATTGATGTCAGTGGTTCATTTTCCTTTGGTTCACTGATTCAACAATAAACTATTTGGCTAGTCACCATATGCCATCGGCCCTTGGACATAAGGGGCATTAACACTATGAACTCACATACTTCCAGGGAAAATGGACAAAGGAGCCCACAGATGAATCCAGAAGCAAATATGCTGGGGTCTTGCCAGTTGTGAACTGTCTGTGGTAATTCAGGCAAGGTGGTCTTGGTCACTTTCAGGAACTCAAGAAGAGTAGGGCATTCTAAGAACACAGCTGAGAACAGGAGGCAGCGGGCAGCAGGCAGCAGTTGACTAATCTCAATACCACTTTACTCACAGGTCTCTGAAACTTATAGATGGGGAAAAAAAAATCAGCCTTGAAAAGGTGTATTTGGAATTGGAAAACTGCAGAGCACAATGTAGACTGGAGGTCAACTCTGAGCGAATGAATTTTTGAGTTGTGAGAAATAGAGCTCAGTTCATTTTTAAAAACGATGCACCCCAAATTGAGTCTATCTCCTTAAGGCAACATGGAGTGGGCAGTTGCAATGAGCTGGAGTCTTTCAAGAAAGGGTAACTACAGTACCTTACACAAGAAAAACATCTGCAGGGGGACTGCAAAAGACAATGGTTTTCATCTCTGACCAATTAATTGGAAAGATCAGCGGTTAGGACATGTACTGACCTGGCCACAGGAATGCACTTGTAATGGGGTTTATTCCTACATTTCCTTTATCACTCAGTCGATTAGAAGTATTATTTTAAACAGTTTCCTGTTACTGCTCAGTTTAAGAAACATTGACCTT